ACTTATACGTACCTCACTCATGTTTTCGACAAGCTCATTTGCCGCATGAACGTAATCTTTCCGGCGATTCTCCGGCAAGATGTTCATGGCGTTGGTCAGATCCTGAGACAGATAAGCCTGTTTCAATCTTATGTAGAATATAACGTACCTCCACGACATGTGCTCCAACATCTCCCTCATGTCTCTTAATCCTTCCGCCGTCTGTTTTATACGCGCCGCCGCGTCCTCCGGCGATAGTCCCGGCATAAAATATTTCTCCTTTATGAATGACCTCGTCCCCCATTTCTCCTGTGCCAATGCTGATGACGTGGCGCCGCCGATGGTCGTGAATGTTATAACCGAGGTCAGGATTCTCCGACGAGTTAAGCTGTCTTGTTGAGATTCTCCGGCGCAGCATACGACGGAGAATGGCTGGTTAACGCGGCGGTGAGTATTTGGCCGGCGGAGATACGGCGGCGGAGTGGTGGTGGTGACGGAGCTCATTTTTAAAAATAAAATTAGTTATTTTTAAGGATAGGAAATGGGAGGAGCTGAAAATTAATATTGTCCACTCCAACTTCATATTTTGCCACGTGGAATGTTATCTCGCAATTTGTATTTTTAATGGAAGGGAAAAATAACATTTTAAAATGAGTGAACAATGGGTTTATAAGACCAAAAGCCCAGTATTTTAAGCCCATATGAATTAGAAGTGCAAGAATGCAAAAGAAACATAAAACGACGTCGTCGAATGCGCTATTTAGTTTGTTTACAAAACGACGTCACTTGCATAGGTAGTGTGTAACCCATCCGGTGAAAAATGGAGCGGAGCCGAGTAACCGGAGAAGCACCGACCGGGACTAGGATCCTGCTTGCGTCACTATCTGCGATGGTCGCAGAGACAGTCACGTTTCCGATTGATCTCACAAAGACCAGAATGCAGCTCCATGGTTCAGGATCGCACCGGATTGGCGCGATCGGAGTCGTGTCGGAGATTGCGAGGAAGGAAGGGGTGATTGGTCTTTACAAAGGTCTATCTCCGGCGATTATCAGACACATGTTCTACACGCCTATCAGAATCATTGGGTACGAGAATTTGAAAGGATTCGTCGGAAACAAAGGCGAGTCTCTTCCTCTCGCCACGAAGGCTCTCGTCGGAGGGATTTCTGGTGTTATAGCTCAGGTAATGACGCATCTTTTAGAGTGTTTGTTCAATATTCTATACCTATTGACTGTAATTTGGATCTGGATTTACGCTAGTTCCGGTAAACTGATTTTGCTGATCAGCCTAACAGTGTTAGCAATTCTTAATTTTGTACCGAGCAATCGATCTCCATGTTTAGTTTTCTATTTCAAATGCTTTCGTAGAAGAAGCAGGTTTTGTCACAAGTTTCTTGATTTTTAGGCGTTTCTGTGTTCATGTCATTCCAAATCCTAATGATACCTTTAGGTTGCTTTTAAGTTGAGAATGTCATGCAGATCCTAATCCTAGAGTGATCAATGTGTCTCACAGATCCTTAATCCAATTCTTTGCTCGCTTGTTGTATATGCTACTTGTTACAATTTACAATTATTCAATCCATCTCCAGATTTTATTCTGCTGCAGTTCTATGGAGGCGTTGATATGTAGATAGGTGTTCTAGCTTTAGCACTGACATTCGAGTGTTATCTATTCGACGCCAAAGTAAATTGCTTCCTATTGTGTTTATACTAGAAATGCAGGTAGTGGCTAGTCCAGCTGATTTAGTCAAGGTGAGAATGCAAGCCGATGGTAGATTGGTGAGCCAAGGCCTGAAACCGAGATACTCAGGACCGATCGAAGCTTTCACCAAGATCCTACAATCAGAAGGACCTAAAGGGCTGTGGAAAGGTGTTCTTCCAAACATACAAAGAGCATTTCTAGTGAATATGGGAGAACTAGCATGCTATGATCACGCCAAACATTTTGTCATCGAGAAAAAGATCTCCGAGGATAACATTTACGCGCACACCCTTGCATCTATAATGTCGGGTCTTGCTTCCACAACTCTGAGTTGTCCGGCAGATGTGGTGAAAACAAGGATGATGAACCAGGGTGAGAAGGTTGTGTACAGAAATTCTTACGAGTGTTTGGTAAAGACGGTTAGGCTTGAAGGAGTAAGAGCTTTGTGGAAAGGTTTCTTCCCGACATGGGCAAGGCTTGGACCATGGCAGTTTGTGTTTTGGGTCTCTTACGAGAAGTTTAGACAGCTTGCAGGTCTCTCTTCCTTCTAGTCCTCTCTCTCTCAAAGAAATTGGAAAAGCAAATTTGAGGTTTGGCTGTTCTTACACATCTTGTAAGAGAATTGAGAAGTAGCATCTTACATTCTTACTACATTAGTTTCTGATTCACAAACGATTTAGTTTTACTTTTTCATACTCAAATAAAATTTGACCAGTTTGGTTTCAAAGTCCAGATTTGAATAAATTGGTTAATTTTTTCCCTTTAAGTTCTGTTTTCAAATAAACTGTTTTGGGTTATCGAATTCATTATACTATATTAGAATAGGATCCGCGTTAATACGCGGATAAATACTATAAAAATTAATAAAATAAATATTTAAGTTTTAATTAGTATCCTGTTAAATTTTAAAATATTATTTAACATGTATCCTAAAATCAGTAGAAATCAGTTCTAATAGATATCATGCAAATTCAAAAATATATATTATCAGAATTTAAATCATATTCTTAATAACAAAAAAAATTATTGAGAAATTTTGAGATATGCCACATATCCCATGCCACTTTGCAAAAATGCCACATTTTTGCAAGTTTTGCAAAAATACCACTTCATTTTTTTTCATATTCCAAAAATACCCTCTTTTAAAAACTGTTTCAGA